CATCCAGAACCGCCTACTTAGCCTCATCCGTAAAGCCGCTGTTACCTAATGATGGAGCCCGTGTAGAGCCATGGGCTGACTGATTTAGAAAGACTTCCTGCTGTTTGAGCTGGGGCACACCAGGCTTCACTAGTGTGCGTGTGTGTGTGTGTGTGTGTGTGTGTGTGTGTGTGTGTGTGTGTGTGTGTGCAGCTCTTCAATGGACAGCCAGTCAGATCAATGTTATGCAAACCTATTAGTCAGAGGTTGCAGTGTTGGCTTCACACAATACTCAGGGACTCTAGCCCCGGGTCAAACACGCTGATGAGCTCTCACCTCAGTTAAGAGTAACAATCGGTTAAAGGCAGCAACAGAGAACTGCGGCTTTATATCATCAAACAGTGCTAGAAAGACATTAATGTCACTGCATTAACTGCATTTTGTCCTTAAACAAGCATTCGTGTTTAAATTTGTACCATTTTCAAACTTGAAAATTGACGCATTGAGATTTTAGCAGCTTTTCCATCTGTCTGTATGTTTGCATATACGGTTAAAACCCAAACTTTTAAATGCAGTCTAATTTTGTTATATTTTTATACAATCACATTTCCAGAAACATGATTTCAATCGAAGATTTCTGTGTAACGCATAGTTAATAACGCAATGCAATGATCCAGATGTGCAGTGGGTGGCAATGTTCTTATAGAGTGCAATACTATCTTAAATGATTTTATTTCACTTATCATTGTGACTGTTTCACTATAATCACTTATAAAATTGTGATTTTCTGTGTGTTTGCATTGGACAATTCACAATAAAGGAATCTGAACCTGGACCTGATGTGACTTTGAATGTGATCTACTGGGATTTTCCACAAAAACATTTCTAGAGTTTGCAGAATATGATCTGAAAAACAGAAAATAACCAGTGAGAGGCAACAGGGACTTTAAAAACCCCCCACTTGTTACAAAGTATGCAGAAGAGCATCTCTGAATTACAATATCATGAACTGTAAGCAGCGGGCTACAGCAGCAGAAGAGCACACTGAATGCCACGCCTGTAAACTGGTACAGGAAACTGAGGCTACAATTCACAAAAACTCACCAGAGTTAAACAATAGAAGACTGCAAAAATGATGATGAGCCTTTATGTTTGTTGTTTTTGCTAAACAGCATTAAAGCATGGATCCATCCTACCTTGTATCAACAGCTGAAGCTGCTTATGTTGTGATCAAACTGATTGCACAAAACTGTATTTGTTAAACTTTGAATGATCTACTGGGTGTGCTCGCTATCTCCCTGTTTCAACAGATGGTGTTTCATGATCAGATTTTGTTGTTGCAAGCACCACCGCTATGTTTATAAGCTCATCTATTCAGGAAACAAAGTTAAGTGAATCTGAGCAAGGGAGGCCATCACCCTGCTGAATAATTATTCTGAATTCTATTGTAATCCTTTATTACATATTTCAACACTAGAAAGAGATCAAAAGAAGCCGAGATGATTCCTGTGCATGGATATGTGATTAATGTTCATCGAACATTGTTTTGTACAGGTAATGGATTGCTGTGATCAGTGTGATGAGCATTTTGCTGACTCGACAGGAGGGAGGGGGTTCTCGGTGTACTTCATAAGGCCATTAAGAATATACTCCCTGGAACACAGTCTGAATAATCCCTGTGGCTTTGACTTCCTTTAATCATCTTAGCCAAAGCATGGCTCCCAATGTGCCTGCATGGGAACACCTGTACTGGGCCACAGCAAATGGATGGTGGTTATCATCTTAATCACCCTCCTGTTCCTCATGCAATACTCAGAAATAAGCAAGCGCATTTATGCTGATCAAGAGAATGCAAAACAAAGCAAGTAAGCTGAACTTTAATGCAAATGACTGAAAATGTAGTCTTAGTGTCAGCTGTTTATCTTTATCATTTGAATCCATCCGAAGGTCTAGTTTGCACACATCCCACATTAGGGGAGAAACAAACAGCACAGCAGGTAAAAGATACAGAATGCATGCAAATCTGGAGAAAATGTTTAAATAAGAGCCGGAGCTGCCATAAACTGTGGAAATATTTAGTAAAATGTGGCGCTGTATGTGCAGCGTTATTTAATTTTTTTAATGGTAAATAATTTGTAAGCAATTAATAAGTAAATAAAAGTATAAGTTATTTTAATGCTTTTTAAATTATTTAAAACAGGTTCTTGATCAGTATTCTTGTGTATGTGCATCAGGTGGCCATTAGCCACAAAATGACTTATAAAACAATTACTTCTATATGTTTATAGACCATTACAAAACATTAATAAACATTAATAAGCACGTAGATGCTATTAAATACAGTGGGGTTATGTTTCATTTGATATACTCTTTAGTAAACGAACAACTTGTGGCTACAGTTTTTAAATGCTAATCGCCATTCAGGTGCCGGGCTCCTGTTGCCAGGAAACCGTGGCTTCCCATTGGCCGCTGCCGCTCCACGTGATGCCGAGCCTTGACGTCACGCCCAGAGGCTGTGGGGCTAAGCAGAGTGTGTGCAGCGGATCGGGAAAAGAGCCTGGTAGAGTTTGGACTGCGAGCACCCGGGAAACTCCAGCTCACCTACCGCACAGCTCTGCTTCCTCTGAAACGTTCACCGTCCTCGTACTAATAATGGACTTCTAAAGAGACTCCTAACGAGCCCCCCACAGCAACTTGAAAGCGAGGTAAGCTGTCGCTGATGTTGTGTTCGTCTCTTCCTTCGCAGTTTGCCCGCTTCCTCATACTTTGTTTCCCACCCCTCCTCAGTTTTCCCTCCCCGCACTCAGGTGAGATGACTTTACAGGTTGAAGAAGCGTCCTTGTACCGCTTCCCTCCACTTTTATTCGCTTGTCTTAAATGACCAAAACAAGCAGCCTTTTTTTGCACATGTTTTTCTAACATAACTTTGCAGTTGCAGAGGTATTTCGCGACGCTAGCAGCGGATTAAGCTTTACCTACATTTCTAATCGGATGAAGGTGCTTCTTCTTGTCCTAAATGAGCCCCTGAAGAGAAGAGAGGTGTTCGTTTTCAGTCTTTGCACTCTCCATTTGATTGAAGCAGGAGTGAGAACAGGAAGTGAAAAAAGAAGGGAGTCCTGCTACCACACAAGGCTGAGTGAAGCAGGGTATCTCATTTCAGCAGATGCACATCAGTTAGCCAGTGGATTAAAGCAGGGCAAGGGTAGCTTTACTGGACTGGTGGTGCTGCTTCACCTTTGTCAGGTGAGTGGGCAATCTGCTTTCTGCAGAGTTTCTGGTTAAAGTGTGGGGTGTCTGGTCAGTGCACTAATAAGCTGTTGGAAGAAGACCCAGAAGGAAAACGCACAAAAAGGAAAGCCACTGAGAAACCACCAGAAAGCGTTTCAAATATTTGCAGGCTTCTGCTTCTCTTATCTGAGTCTTTTGCTTTTTGTTTGTTTAGTGTAGTTGCATGCACTGCAGACCACACGTAAGCCTGCTTGAGCTGCATATACTTAAGGCAAAGAGTCTCTGTTAGCTTAAATAACAGAAGTCTGAGCATTTTGACAAACATAACGTGTATTTTAATTTAGAATAAAATAAATCCCACTTGTAGAAGCTGCCCTTTTGATTTCTTTTGAGGGATGATAAAGGCTTCAATTTTATATAAGTAAAACTGAAATGAATTGAATCTTTTGCTTTATTACAAGACTCTAGCTAAACCTGACACAAATCACGTTTTGTTTTTCCTATAGAACACACATAAAACATCCCTCTCACTCTTCCTGAGGTTGAGCAAAAGTAATTAATAAATTTAATGCGAGTTAAATGGGTATGGATTGATTAATTTGGTTAGCTCATAACAAAAAAGCTGAATATTTTTGCTGTTTAATAGCAATCAATTGGTAGCAATTGGTGCCCATTATGTGAAGATTTCCTCCCAACAGCATGTAGAGTAAATAATTAATATATAAAATATTGACTCTGTTGGTTTCAGGTTTCCATGAGACAGACCAGCAGCTAATGTAGGATTAAACTGACTGAAGCTCCATCTCTAAGTAGCTCCTCCAGGCTTCAGTTGAACTCGTGCAAATTTCTTTCTTTTTTTTAAGGCGTCTTTTTGGTTTCATTTGTTGATGTAAACACTGTGGCGCATTAGGGTTGAGTTTCCTCTGATGGTTCCAGTGAAGTGGCCACGGGGGGATCAGACAGGGAGGTGGTGTGAGGGGGAAAACATTAACGGACACAGAAGCCGAGAAATAAATCCGAGAGTTCAGTGGTCCAGAAGAAATGGGAGAAAGGAGGGTCATTCGCATGCAAAGAAAACAGAAAACACACTCACACACGAAACCTCTAGCTTCCAGACTTCTGATTCGATTTTAGTAATTCAACAGCTCGAGCGGCCAATACAGCATAACAAGATAATTGAAAGACCTGTGGAGGGTGGAGTCGAGATAATGGCCCCCTTGGTGTCAAACGCTTTCAGGATGCTCACAGATGTGTGCTAAATTTGAACAGATGTTCTATTTTCACCGGCGTGGGTGTCTTCTCAGTTTGTTTTGGGCCAGACTGACCGCACTGGTAGCCTGGTCTGTAGTTAGGCTTGTCTGAGCAGCAGTCTGCGCCTCTTTGAATTGAATTACACTTTTTTAGAGAGAGTAGACTGGGGGGGGGATAAAAGGAAGTGAAGGAGAAAGCTGGAGATAACACGAGAGAGAAGAAACAGATTCCGACCTGTCACATGGACTGTGTTTTGGATAGAAAGCCACATTTCTGGCATGCAGATATCTCTGACTGAGAGGGGTGGGAGTTGTTTAGTCATCTGATAGATTGACATTTCCATCTCTGTAGCCTTTTGTCTTTACAACAGGCTGTTTCAGGGAGAGACTCACATTTAGAGACTCGGTGCAAAAATAAGCGGCCCTCTCATGCAATCAGTGGCATTTTGCTGTGAGTGTGTGATGGCGTTTGTCCGTTCTGCAGCTCTGCCTCCTTTGGAGTCGTTGTCAGAGACGCTCCTTTTTTTTCTTCTTTTTTTCGTTTTTATCTTGTTCTCATTCGCTCCCTCATAATGGCTTCGGTGTCATGATTGTGGTTTTCTGCAGCGCCTTGACGCACAACGCTGTCTCACAATAGGAGCTCATGTGCGCTGAATTATGATGAAGTTGTTGCCGTGGGAAGGGAAGAAGTCGTTTTTGACATTGGAGAGCAAAGTGCACGTTAAGCATATGTCGAACGCCAAAAGGTTCGTCGCGCAAGCATGAAGTTAAAGCTAGAGGAGCAGATGGATTAACTGTCTGTTCTGTATGTCCATTAATAAAACTGTGGATATGTTTCAGCTAGACACATAAATTTGGTTTTATTTTATTTACTTATTTATTTTCTGGGGATTTACCAATAAATTGCTGGAATATTGGCTCCCTTGTCTGATATGTATCCTTGGAAAAAACAGTAGCTGTTATTTTTCTGTTATTTCACATCAGATTTGTGCTCGCTGAGTTTTTAAAGAGTATGTGGTGAAAGGCAGAAGGACTTTCTTTTGTTTACATGAACAAATGAGAAAACAAAATGGTTATTTAAAACACCAGCATCATCCCAGACTTTCACAGTCAGAAGCTGGAGCTCCTTCAGAGACATAATGATATTTCCCCCCCCGATGAAATGACACACCGGTAGTAATAAATGCATTGTTAAGATAAACACAAACAATAGGGGGTGTTAGAAGACAGAAGTGGCTAACTTTAAAACTTTAAAGCTGTTGCTCACGCTGAAGGTTAGTCGCTAGGCCCAGGTTACCCTGGAAACCCTCTGATGTATTTATATATCTTATCATAAGTCAATCACCAGTATCCTGTCATCGGCAGTGGCTTCATTTATGCGTCTCAGAGTCGAGAAAAGCGTTTCATTATTTTCTTGGAGTTGAAGGTTGTTGACTTTCAGCACTCTCTGGTTGCCACGTCAATGAGAATCACTTCCTGTGTGGATGAAGAGCTTTAGTTTTTGTTTTAAGAGTAATTTGAGTTTTTGTCTCGGTTTTAATACCAAACTTTTACATTTTATGCAGCGAGCGATTGTTTTCATGTACTCTGAATCGTTTCTACTTTATTTGATGATTAAGACGAATGATTAAGGGTCTGTGTGTTTTGACCAGTGGTCTATAAATATGTTTGGGATCATGTCACCAAGAAAATCACGAAGTGATCAAATCTGAGAATCCAAAGTCAGAACATTTCAGCTGAATAGTCATTGATTCAGCTCTGGATGATGTTTCACATGTAATTGGAGTTGATTAAGTTTACCAACCTGCTTTGACTTTTAAGTTGTTTCACTTTTCCTAAACCTAAACCTTGAGTCGCTGTCGTACTAAGTTACTACAACTGAGTTTCACTGTTGGTCTGTGCATCCTGTTTCACCGGCAGAAACCCAGTGAAACCTCACTCACATCCTCAGACTGTGTTGGATAATCAGCAGCAATCCCCACTCTGACCTTACGCTAAATAACACGGCAGATAGAGTTGCTCAGAGACATTCAAGGAGCTGCTAAGGCATGCTGCACCGAACAGCCGTCGTCACTTGTAACGTGAGTGTGTGTGCTCCCAGAGCTATGCGGCCTGCAGCAGATATCTGAGGTGCTTTGAGATGTTCGGGATCATCAAGCATGTGATCGCTGATGGATGGTGGCCAGAAGATGTTTATATTTATGTGTTTTAACCTTTGACATGAGTGAAACCTCACTTTTCCAGCTGCACGAGACTACCTATGATGCTTCAGTGTGTCTTTGCGCTTCGTTTCTCCCATAAAAAATGCAGGAGTTTGTCGGCTTTGCACTTCACTCCGCTGGAATAACTCCGAAGTTCATCTATAACTAAAACTGCGCTTGTAAATAAGGCTTTCAAGGCCTTGTTGTTTGCTTTCATACTTCATTTTCATGCACCAAACGTCAGTCAAGTTGAACTCATCAAAGCAAACTGGCAGCGAGGATGAAACGAATTTAATAGAAACAGAAAGGACGTGAGATGAAGAACATTTTAAAGCTGCCAGCTGCTTGAACCTCGTCCAGTATTTCCCTTTCATTTGGAATATGTGTCGCAGCCTCCTCTTGGCACGTCTCCTGCAGAAATAAGACAGTTTATTTGTTTGTTTTGTTTGTCTTGTTTGTCTTGTTTATCATTTTTGCCTCATGCTTCATCAAATCACCTGGTAACATCTTTGACCATTTATCCATTAAAGTGGTGGATTTACGTGCTAGTTAACGTGGACTGGCCTGAATTTTTGAATATGGAAGCACTTTAAAAAAAACCACCAAAAATAACATGGGGACAAAGATCTGTGATTTTCAGGTTTGAAGGTCGCACTAAAGCCTAGAAGGCAGCATATATAAGAGTTTTAAAGAGTTATACAGCCACAATCATCTGATCACAAATTCTTTCAAACGCAGATGAAGTGGAAGAGAACTGCAGATAAGCTACTCAAAGACAAAAGAGGCTGGTTGTGACGTCGGTTTGCCGTTGCGTAAACCGAGCCTCTGGGGGCGTTCACATGTGTCCTCGTCTAATGTGAGATGGTAAAAGTGTCATTTTTAATATCTTATCACAGCTGAGATGAAACAAACTTTTGAATTGCGGGTGGAGATCGGATTGCCGCCCCCGTAGGTCTAATAATTGCTTGCTTGTTAGGTCAAGGATAGCCGCCCTCAGCTCTGCAGCGCGGGCACAGATGCATCATA